GTGTGGGTTTAAAATGTGTTTTAGACTCCAAAGTCTCCCCCCCCCACCCCAATTGTCCTCTCTCTATCCTCTCTCTGTTTGTGCTTATTTATTTATTTAGTTGTTTGTCTGTTTGATTTATACCTCGCCCATCTGGTCCAAAAGACCACTCTAGGTGGCTTCCAATATAGTAAAACAGTGAAACAATACAAAAAACAAAAAATTACATAAATCATATTGTAATAAACAGAATACAACAATAGAATAGAAAATACATAAGGAGAGAATAAACAGAAAAGTCAGATATTAACTGGAGGGAAGGCACAAACGTTTGTCTGAGGGGTCTGTGTGTCCCAGTGATGACCTTTCTTTCTTTCTTTCCTCTTTTTCCCATTGTTCCCTCCCTCCTTTCCTGAACTTTTTTAAACCTGTCATCTTAGTGTTTTTTTTAAAGTCTCCCCCTAGTGGTAGTGGGCGGATTAACCGCTTTCCCGTTAGTTCCTATGGGAACAAATGCTTCGACTTGCGTCCGGCACCCGAGATACAACCAAAAAACGGCCGGAACAGATTAATCGCATTTCATTGCATTCCTATGGGAAATGGTGCTTCAACTTACGACCATTTTGAGTTACAACAATCTTATGGAACGGATTAAGTTCGTAAATCGAGGCATCACTGTACGCTGATGACACCCAACTCCACCTCTCCTTTCCATCTAGATCCAAAGAAGCTATTTTGGTTCTAAACCAGCATCTGCTGTCAGTAATGGATTGGAAGAGTGTGAATAAACTGAAACGCAATCCAGACAAGACAGAGGTGCTCCTGGCCAGTCAAGAGGCAGATCAAAGAACAGGGCTGCAGCAGCCTGTACTGGATGAGGCCACACTCCCTCTGAAAACGCAAGTGCGCAGCTTGGGCAGGTGCTCCTGGATTCCTCTCTGAGCCTGGATGCCCAGGTTCTGGCAGTGGCCAGGAGTGCCTTTGCACGGTTAACAGTAGTGCGCCCGCTGTGCCTGTTCCTTGAGAGGGCTGATCTGGCCCCACAGTGACACAAGCCCTAGTTACATCTTGACTGGATTACTGTAATGAGCTCCACGTGGGGCTGCCTTTGGAAAGGGTTCGGAAACTCCAGAGGGTCCAAAATGCACCAGCCAGACTGCCTACTGGGAGTGATTACAGAGATCTTGTGACACACACACATACCCCATTACAGCGGCTGAACTGGCTGCCAATCCGTTTCCAGGCACAATTCAAATTGCTGGTCTTAACCTATAAAGTCGTAAACAGCTTGGGTCCAATCTATCTAAAAGACTGCATCTCTCTCTATGAGCCTGCCCAGGCACTGAGACCATCAGGGAAGGCCTTTCTCTCGGCCCTGCCTCCCTCACAGGTCTTCTCAATGGAGACACGGGAGAGGGCCTTCTCTGTTGCGCTGCTCCCAGGCTCTGGAACTCCCTCCCACAGGAAGCTAGGCAGGCCCCATCATTGCTGTCCTTCCACAAGCAGACAAAGCAGGCCTTTCTGTTTAGGCAAGCTTTCCCTTAATAACTGGTGGGTTGAGAAGGGTTTTTAAATGAGTGGTTGTGCTCTGTTCTAAATGTGTTTTAGTATTGATTTTATTACGGTTTTTAATGTAATGCTTGTTTAATTATTGTTTAATAATTGTATACGTACTGTTTTTAGCTTCTACATATTGTCTTTTTAATTATGTAAGCTGCCTTCGGGTTTTTTTTAAGAGAAAGGTGGAATAAAAATATTTTAAATACATAAATAAATAAATGGCTGAATCTAGTATCTTCTTTGTTACTGTTGTTTATACCGATTCAGAAACTCATAAGCATTCTACAGCTTGAATGCATTTTAGCATGTTTTCTTTCATTCATTCAATGTGTCTCTGATCTTAATAACTCCAAAATAGTGTTCAAGGAGGTCAACAGTAATAAAAATTGAAAATAACAAATATTATTCAAACTCCTTTCAAGGAAGAAGCTACTGAAGAATCAAAATGGAGAATGGAACATATAAGGCAATGCGCCCTGTCTCACTTTTTAAAGCTTTAACTTTTGCAATTGTTCCACATTCATAGCAATTTCCAGAGGGATGACCATCAAAACCAAAGTCTCACAAAATAATTTTTCACAGTATACTTTTTTACAGACACTAGTCCATGAAAGCTTACTCACACATTAAATTTGTCCTTGAAGAGTTATATATCTCTTTGTTGGTTTTACATTCCTAGCAGACAACAGAAGACTGCACTTTTTGCTTACAGTGGTCTAGCTCACTGGTTCTTAACCTTGGGTTACTCAGGAGTTTTGGACTGCAACTCCCAGAAGCCTTCACCACCAGCTGTCCTGACTGGGGTTTCTGGGAGTTGCAGTTCAAAAGCATCCGATTAACAAAGGTTAAGAACCACTGGTCTAGCTCACGGCTCAACATGCCTGGCTTTAAAGTGTAGCCTGACATCCTACTTTAGGTTGTCTAAATGGCAGCCTAAGCTTTCTAATGCTACCTAATCGCAACTACATTTCAGTTCCCAGAAGAGGGCAAGATAAAAAGACTCTTGAGATTGATGCCTTCCAGATGATTCTCTTTAAGATCCCCTGCCACAGCAGGACATGGCTGCACGCAAAAGCTCTATCTCTGAATGCTAAGCTAGATGAAACATAGCTCTTCCAAACCAACCACCACCAACAGCATGGGACCCTTGCCACACAAGCAAAGTGTGTCCCGATTTTACTTTAATCTTTTTGAAGGCAATGAAACAGACCAGAAGGAATGACTATGGCAAGAACCGATCTGAGCAGGAAGCTTATCTCACTTAGCAGTTGCTTCTTCCTCAGCCATTCTACTTATATGACCAGACTAAACCTTATCATTTGCATACTGAACAACCTGCCTTCATACTTTAGGCCTGACAGAACCTATCAAACCACAGCTTGGCTTTGAGCTCGTACATACTTTCTTCCCAGTGTTCTCATTCTCTTCCTACTTGGGTCTGACCAAACTGCAGAACATGGAAATGGAGACAGGTTTGAACCCAAAGTCTATTCACAGTAGCTAAACCATGGTTTGTTCATTTTCATTTGAACTGGGGCATATGGAGCCCTAAAAACTCAATTTCAGAGGACATACGGCTAGGAACAGTACATACCTTGAGCTGCCCAACCACCATACTCAGTATACAGCTATCAGGTGTAGGTTGATGATCTTGCGCTGTGATACTGTGTTGTATTTTCTGAAAGGGAAGGCTCTGTAACAGGAACAAAAAATGCACAGAATCTTACAGTTTGGAAGTTCATGGCAAAAAAAGGAAGACCCTTCACCCTCTGGGAAAGATTCATTGCTACTTTTTTTTGTCTATGACTGACTTCTGCTGTGCTCACCAAAAGCTTTTTAAAAAACTCAACTAATGAATAGAAGACAAGAAGAAATGGTATTCAGTGATGGGGAGGTAGATTTAAACTAAAACCTTATTATTGGGGCTCCAGAGCACAACACAGCAACCAATACTTTGTCTGCAGTATAATTCAATAATACACCCATTTATTTTAAGTATATAGCAGCTGAATACTGAGGCTACAATCCAGTGGTATGTTCCACTGCTCCTAAAGCACTATAAGTGAGAAGAAAATTGCCCCTGATCCTGCACAGGTGCAAGGCAGCAGCAAGGGAAAAAACACTGATCTAGCAATGATAGTTGATGTTCTGTTGCCAAAACTCCCAAAAAGCTGTGGCCTTATTGTGGTCATAATGAACAAAGCCCTGTAAAACAACTCAAAAGACACTACTACAAGTGGGACGATGCATTTCTCAACTCCATCAAAACTGATTACATTAGTTGCTTTCAATATATTTACTCAGATTTGCTCTGTATGTTTACCAGATGGCACAATCCTTTCTCAACTACTGTTCTCAAGCAAGGCAGGATTCGTTGTAAAGACTCCAACCGTCACAGGTATGCCAACAGCATGCTTAGTATAACACTCAGACAATGTGCCATCTAAAGGTCCTGCTATCACTAGTGCAATATGGTTAAGAAACTGTTGGTAAAACATCGGAGCAGACACCACAAAAGAGGCAGCAATCATACCCTTTGGGGAATGTGCAACGAATACTGAAACGCAAATAAAATTAGAACCTGGCTTGCATAAAAGACTTCAAGAGGGGACATTTAAGAGCTGGGAGAGAAAACTTACCAAGCAATAGTTACTAGTATAGAAACTTACAGAGAGTTTTTCAACAATTGCTGCTTTGCCCTGAAATTGTTGTCCTTCCCATGTAAGGCATGAGGCATCTATCTGAAATCATAACAACAGTATCAAAAAAAGCAATCATAGTCTGCTTGGAAGATTTTGCTTTATGTAAAGGAAACAGTAATTGTTCTTAGCTCCAATCGACTACACAAAGAACTATGAAAGAATAAACTTCTATCATGTCAGCAGAGCACTAACTGATTCAATCCCCAAACCAGCTGGAATCCTACAAACAATTCATAACAGACATCCCAACTAGATCAAACTAGCTGGCTTTACATAGTTTTATTACATAGTCATATTGCATGGGGACAATTTGCTGTTCCACAGAATGCTTCGTATATTTTGACTTGATCTCTTATACACAAAATACAATCTCCCCTGCCCTCAGGGCCAAATTTAATTATTTTGTTTGTTTAAAATGTACGTCTTATTCTTATGTAATAAAAGTCAGGTTGGTTTTTTTTTAAACAATAATTCAGTTGATTGTAATGGGGGCCCCTATGCAGCCATTCCCAGCTAGTGATGAAGGCATCTGGGGATTTTAGTCCAGGAACATCTGGGAATCCAAGGCCGGGAACCACTGCTCTACAATGAACTACCGGTACCCAGTATAATTAGAAATCTTGCATGTATTTCTAGGAGTCAAATGCTAGACGAGAATGCCATTTTCTATCCCTTCCTGACATAACATAGTCTGGAACAGGCAGAGACACCTATCCCCTCTGTGATTTCCTTTGCCTTCAGTCACTCAAACCTTCAATGTTCTGAAAATACATTTCATTTTCTTGCATGCATAGTGCTATGGTTGCTCTATGGATAACTTTAACCAATTCATTTTCTTCCAATCAAGTTTCCAGGCCAATACAAACACTTCTTCATACTTATCACAAAACACTTTTTTATTCTTTTTAAACATTAAATTCAGAAAGAATCCACACAATGTTAATTTTAAAGTCAGTTATAGACTTTAAGCTTTTATTTGCAGACATTCTACATACTGAAATAGAAAACTAATCGCAAAATTATTTGGCTTCACAACTGATGAGGGATATTGGTGCTCATGCCATTGATGGACCCCTGAATCCTAAGGTAAATAAGAAACAGCTTTCCTCCCATTGCAAATACTGTCTAAATGGCACGAAGAAAAAATAATAAACTTCCCCAATCCCATGGGGACCATGCTGCTGATGTGGCATAAAGAAGTGCATTGGCTATACAGTACTTCAATTCCTCAAGTCAAGAGGTGGTCACTATATACCTGGAGCACTTAAATTGTTTGAAGCCAAGTCAATAGCCCAACTTTTCTATGGAGCCCAGTTAGGCCCCCTTTCCAATTTTGCACCACTAGAGCTTGTGCAATCCAAATTTATAAAATCAGCCCTACAAATTCCAAAATGTGTCTCTAATGCCACTCTGAGACTAGAGCTGGGCCTTATGAAAATGGAGGCCAGGGTGTGGGTGGTTATCCTTAATTATTGGCTTAGATTATCTCTTCACCCTTGGGACTTGCCCCACTAACCTTAAGAGATGATTTTAAGTCCATCTGGAAAAGGGCTGTGGTATCCAAAATTTCATTCCTGTTTTTTTCCCCAGGTCTCCTACTTAGCGTGGGATATGATCAGGCCAATGCGCTCATTAAACAGCAAGTAATAGACACCGAGCGAAAACTGGATTTAGCCAGATCTCCAACGTTTATTATCAATGAATCCAGTAGGTATCTTGCCTCCCCTACGATATATTTATCCAAACTTGAGATACCAAACCATCGGAGGGCCTTTACCCTGGCACGATGTCATGCCCTCCCCTCAGCTTCCTTGAGGGTCGATATTGGAGGATTCCCTACTTGGAGAGACAATGCCCCTGTGGCTCTGGCCACATAGAATCAAAAGAGCACGTGCTCCTTCAATGTTCGTTTTATAGAGATATTCGAACTAATCTCATCTGACCAATAATCCATAAATATCCAGGACGCTCAGGTCAATTTTATACCTCCTTGTTGCTGTCAGATATGTATTACAACATATAATGTTGCTAGGTTCTGTGCGGCAGCAATTAAAATTCGCCAGGTGGTGACTAGCATCATAAACTAGTATTTATATTTATAGTATTTAATACTGGATTAATGCCATTATATATGTGTGTGTATATCTATAATTCCTTGGAATTATTTTATGATTGCACCTTTTATTTATAGATACACTAACTGTTAAGAGTCACAATACTTATTTAACCCTGTAGAATCCTTTTCTTTTCTCTTCTTTTCTATTCACTGCGCCCTGGATTCTTATATTTTGTTTTTTTTAGAATCAATGTAAGGTTACTTGTTAAATTTTAGATTGCTGTTCAATTTGAGTTATGGCTTAAATAGAGTTTGTAATGGGCATATCAACCGTTTGTATCCTATCCTCATTATGCTGGTCAATGACTGCAACAAAGATTGAATGACCGAATAAACTTCGCCTCTTTTTTAAAGGCTCGTAAAGCAAAGAAGTGAGAAGCAAAGCAAAACCTTACATACTTTCTGACAGAAAGCATTGAAGCCAAAATTGAGGTTTATGTTTTGACCAAAAAGGAATTAGCAATTTGCTGTATGTCTTCTTATGAGATGAATAAGAAATTGAGATCAGATTAATTTGCATTAATCAACGAGCTCAAACATCAACCAGCTTTCCCTGCTACCTTTTGCAACACCTTCCAGGTGTGCTGGACTACAACACCCATGTTCCCAGCTTGCATTGCCATTCCTCACAAAAAGAATGTTAGCTTGAGGGGCTTTCCTCGAAAGAACAATGTAGTAAAGGTTCATGGAGCTGCTGAGAAGTAGCAGCAGATGAGAAATTCTGCACCCATGCGATTCCTTAAATATCTCAGGTTCCAAGCCAAATTGTGGGCAATTCGCTCCTCCCTCAACAGCTGCCCACTCCTAACCAATTCCACATTGTTGAACAGCAGTTTGCTAGACCACAAGAGATATTTGGGGGGCATACATAGCCTCAAGGGATAGGAAAGACAGAACAAATTCCTTCCATTAACTTTATTATGTTTACGGTGGTGCCCCGCAAGACGGGCGCTCCGTTTGACGATGAAATTGCATCACGACGAACTTTTTGCGATCACAAAAACGATCGCAAAACGATGTTCCCTATGGGGGAATTTCACTTTGTGACGATCGGTTCCCTGCTCCGGGAACCGATCATCGCAAAGCGATGATTTTTTTAACAGCTGGTTGGCGGTTTCAAAATGGCCGCCAGGTAAACAAAATGGCGGCCCGTTGTGTTTTCGCACGGATTCCTCGCTGCATGGGCAGCGAAAATGGCTGCGCTATGGAGGATCTTCGCTGGACGGTGAGTTTGAAGCCCCTAGGAATGCATTAATCTGGTTTTAATGCGTTTCTATGGGCTTTTTAAAATTGCATCATGACGTTTTCGTTCTACAGCGATTTCGCTGGAACGAATTAACGTCGTGATGCGAGGCGCCACTGTACTTATCTTTAAATATAATTCTATGTTTTAGAGGGCCTATTCTTAAATTAAGCACTTCTTCCTTAGCAACTGCTTGCAGCTTGCAAATTTTATAAAACCTCCAAGTTTATGAGACATACTGATAATCTAACATCCTTTTTTATTTCATAGTAGTAATCTACTTTACAATGTCATTTGGAGGACAAGCCCAGACCTATAAAGCAGCCTGTATATCACTGCAGGGTAAATAATAAAAGTTCCATACAAGTAACTAAACAGTGTCTACAGTATTTCTTCTGGAGTTAAGAATAATCATCAGATATTCCCAAATGTTTCAAAGCAAAGAGAAGAAAAGTGGAGCAGAAAGTAAACAAATAAACATGGGGGAGGGGGATGAGGAATGTGAGCAAATGAAAATAATGAAACAACTCTCTTTTATCAATTACTTACATATATTGCGCCTAACTGAGTCCTATCTGTATCAAATAACTGGTAATAATGCTGTACAAAGCTGGAACCAATCTGTTCCCAAATAGGCTTGTCTCCCATTCTGAATCAACAGCTGGAGCCAGCAACTGGCAGGGGAGGGAGAGAAAGAAAGACAGATTAACGGGAGTATGTAATAGTTCAAGTACAACAGACTAGCATTTCATCAGAACATTCTATATTTTTCATGTAGCCAGCATTTTTCTCTTGTGAAGTATGAATGAGAACTTTTTCCCATTCATATTGTAGCAGTAAAACAATCTAACTGCAGCCTGATTACTGACACCAGAACTGAGACACTCCTCCTTACATCACAATACTGAGGAACAGAACCTCTGAAAAGAAAAACATAACGAGACTCCTGTTCTGTGACAGCACTCAGCTATAACATTTTTGGTCAATATCCACAAACCAGAATTCAAACTCAATACTGTAGTATCTAGAACCGTATCCCACTGAGGGACATTTGCCTGAAACAAACAGCAAACACCACTGGCTAATCAAGTGTCAAATCCATTTGATGGGCTATCTGCTCAGCTTTGTAAACAAAGACATTTAGAAGCAAATCGCAAGTGGCTTGAGAGTAGGCTGTATCGCCAATATTAGGCAATATTGTGGAAACACAATATTTTGCCTCAGCACTGAAAATATATACATAAAGGGGTCCACAGACTTTTGCTGATAACTAAAGTGAACTAGTCCTAACACAGCTGTGCCCTTTCTAGAAAGGATACAGGATCCCCTCTGCCAGTAGAGACTGAGCAGGAGGCCAAACAAAATGAGGGAAAGACAAGCTCCTACACTTGGCAGCAAGCAGGGCTTCATAACCTTATTACACTAAACCTTGAACATATTCAGGAAGTAGCAATAAGTCTTAGTAAATATTGGGGAACTTCCCACTCAAGAAACATGTGGAGTTTGCCTTGAATTTATTCACCTGTCCTAGTACGAACTGCCCTATATGAAAAGCATGAGGTCTGGTCTACCACAGAGTTGCAGCCCTTTCTTCAATCCCTTCTCAATGTTTCTGAAGTCAGCAGAATGTGAAGGAAACTGTTCTTGAGAAGGGCATGAAAGCTCCTGCTGGAATACTGCAACCTATACTGTGCATATGATGCCTTCAAGAGGTTTTGGCTGGGAGGGAACTTCCTGGACTGGGGTGGATGTCAGTCAACTCGGGAGCAGCCCCGGGTTCCCTCTCTGCCTCGGGTTCTTTTTCTTGCCCAGATTCTGTCCGGGTTAGCAATAGAACCTGAAGACAGAGTGATATGTTTTGTCAGCTATGTAACTGGTCACTTAGTCAGTAATGGAGCTGGTTAACCAGTTAAGTTCAGTGATGTAACAAGTTAATAGTTTTACAAAGATGTTTGTTTTTACGTAAGAACTGTGAATAAACTTATATGTTTTATTCTTTTTTATCACCTGAGTCTCTGAGTGAAAGATTAAGACAGCAAGTGCCAGTTGAGGTAAACGAACAAATAAGGGGTGGTCTACTGAGGGAGACTTGTCGTTCAATCTGCTCTGTAGGTTCCTGACTGAATCATTTTATTCACTGCATAATTAGAGGAAGTTTTAATTTATTAAGGCTACACTCAAACATCCTCTCACAACGCTCTGCTCCCAATAGCTTCCTTGGCGCTATATTCTTAACAGAGGTAAACATCTTTCAGAAATGTAACACATGCATCCCTTTAAGAGAAGGTGTAAGAGGCAGAACTAGTATGGACACAGATAGTTGTGCCATAGAGATGTGCTGAAATTCTACTCTGCTTTCTTTCTTTCAGCATACAGAAAGCCCAGGAACGGCAACATTACTGAATTATAATGTACATTCCTTGTTCTCAATTTGAGCAAGGAGGAAAGCAAGCATTGCCTCCCTATGAAAATATCAAACTCAAAGCATAAGAGCAATACATGAATGTTTGGATTACTGAGTTGAATAGCTCCATAGATTGGAGCATCAAGCTGCAGAGGCAGGGACTGAGAGTTTGATTCCTCAGCATGCCTCCCAGGAAAAGAGCCATGATGTATGGCCGTGGGCCTCAGAAGACTTACAGAAGGAGGAAGTTGTATACCCATAAAATTCCAGGGACACTGACAATATTGACATGTTCTTAGACCCTCCCGAATTTTTTGGGAAAACTTTTAAAAGAATTTGGCCACTAGAGGTCACAAGGGTGAAACAATTTTTAAAGCCTTTTTTTGTAAAGCAAAATCTGTGTTTCAATTAACAAAGACGCTACAGCCACCTTTACAAATAACAATAAAAGCAACGAATTAAATAAAATTAACCTCCATGACCATACCTCTCCCCCTTGAGAGTGCAGCACTTGGACTGTTGACAAATGTGGAAAATGGCTTTCAGCTCCACTAAAATTACAGTGGACCCTCTACTTAAGGAATTAATCCGTATTGGAATGGTGGCTGCAAGTCGAAAAGTCTGTAAGTCGAATCTCCATTGACCTACAATGCACTGAAAACTGATTAATCCCATAACCAGTGGTTTTTATTCTATTTTTATTCCATTTTGGTTTTTTTCTGGTCTGTAAGTCGATTCTCTGGCTGCAAGTCGAATCTAAATTTTGCAGCCGGAGAAGTCTGTAAGTTGAGCCGTCTGTAAGTCGAGGGTCCACTGTACTCACTCCCATCTAACCCAACAATGACAACTCTATTCAGAAGCAGTTCTCAAATATTTAGAATTCTTTCCTAGGATTATCTACAGAACCTCTGTATTCCTTGGTGGTCTTCTCCAAATATCAATTAGGCCCAGCTTTGCTCAGCTTCTAAAATCAAATGAGACAGGGTGCATGCAAAGCAATATGGTAGGTGGGTGACTGTTCCCCAAATATTCACAATACTGAGTTAAAGCAGAGGTTGCTACAATCAGGGTTTACAATCCAACACTGATTAAATTAGGCTGAGTATCTGACTTATCAAACAAGCATCTAACTTTTTTTAAGTATTTAAATTTTTAAGTTATTTTTATCATCAAAAAGTTTGATACTTACTCCAACTAAAAACAGATTATTTCACTCTTGTTAAAAAAGAAAGGTGTCAGGTCAGAAACTATGAGACCAGCATTTCCCCAAGAGTCCTACCGAACATTACAGACCTCTTGGAGGAGAGGGAAGAGACAGAAAGTTGCGTTCATCACAGCTAGCATTTATCCCAAAAAGGGTTAAGTCCAGCATGGCCCAGAAAAATATTTTGCACACTATATAACTTACTCCCTTCTTCTGAATATCCTCTAGTTTTTCTTTTTATTGAACAGACGTCTGCAGGCAGATACATTTGTTTTATTGTTTTCTATCTATTGAACACCTGAAGACAGTGATTACACAACTTAAGACAATATTTTAGGAACGAGGAGAGCTTAGGGGATTAAATGGAAAATATATGTACTCTAACAAAACTTAGAGACTTTTGCAGAGTGCGGGCGGCATACAAGTCGAATTGATAGCTAAATTAATTAATTAAATGAATGAATGAATAAATAAAATCAGGCAAAACCCAAAGGAAATAGAAAAGAGAGACAGCCCTCTGCAAGGTTCTTTTTTTTAAAAAAGTGCACTAGAGGACAAAAAACATTTTGTCTTCCCCCTCTGCACAGCAATTCCATTAGGTTCTGGTCATGATGGAACCCTGCAGGGAGAGTTGTGCGCGCAGAAGCAAAGTCACGCATGAGAGGCAGGGCCCTGCCCAGCGGAACTGAAAGTTAGAGGGTACGTTGGGTGAAAGTTGTAGGACTGGTCCTTCAAATTCCAGGGATGGGCACATGCAGCACATCTGGAACTAGTGAATTTTTCCCTGGCAATCTGGCAACCAGAAGTGATCACTAAATCTACAGACAGACTTCGTAAAGATCAAAACTAAACAGAATATTCTACAGAAGATTATTGTCAGAAGGCCTGATCAGCAATGGTGGATACTAGCCTATAATTCCAACCAAACATCACAGGAACACCACAGAGCAAAGAAGCAGTTTGCAGGTATTCTAGAAATATACTAGAAGTATTCAGAGAACTCTTAACAGTGGTGTTTGTGGCATGAAAGGTCAGACAGAACAGAGAGCCACAGGATGTGCATGAAGAAAATTCAGAGCTGAGAGCTAATCTGTCCAATAAGCTAGCACACACAGCTAGACTTCCACGTTCCTTATCAGGGATTAATGTGACCATGGAAATGCGGTCAGTCAGTTCACAAAAGTCTGTAGATTATGAAAGGATAACAACTATGATGTCATACAAAGAGTAAAACCTATTCTAAACTACCGTTTTTTTAAGAAAGCCAAGATGACATTTCTTGCAAGTTGGGCAAGAAGCATTTAAATCAGAACCCAGCAATAAGATTACAAATGCAAGCTTTTCCAATATGAACATAAAAATATCTGAAGGGACTGGTAATGAATTTTCTAATGTTAACTAATAAAATAAGGACACCTGAAATAGACAGGAAACATATAGTAGTTATAGTTGGACTGCAACCCCAATACATCCTACCCAGCAAAACAAGCATAGCTGATGATGAAGGATAATGGAAGATGAAGTCAAATAGCATCTCAAGGACCACATATTCCACATCCCTACTCTAGATGTTCTGACAAGTCCATTAGTGAACTACATTGTTTATCTGTCGAACATGCTTCGTTGAGTGACTGTGCTTCCTTGTCAAATAAATGTTCCATTTAGCTTCCTTCCTATGGGAATGTAGCCATGACAAACACAGATTTTTAATGTCATATGTAGGGATGTTATTCCTGGTTTGTCTGTCCTCACATGCAAGGAACAGAATTGTAACATTCCTCTCCTGGCTAGCAAGGAATTTTCTTGTGCCTTGAACAAGAGCAATGTTTTGAACAAAATGTTTCATATTTGTGTACAACTGCCTGGAATTTTGTGCAGCCACACTAGCAGTAGGCTGTCTGCTATTTTATTTAAAAATCTTCACTAAATTAGGGACACTAGATAAAGTTGTTTGCTTCTTAACCATCAGCCTTTCTGTGCTTGCTCTGTCAGCATGTGTCTGCACACTCAGTTTGTGACTCAAACGGAAAGGACACTACAGAGGAGAAAAAAAATCTTACTTTCTC